GATGTGTGCTTTTTCTAATTATCACTACTATTCTAAATTCTAGAATTTGCTCCCATAAATTTATGATCTGTAGTTCTTTCATAAGTATAAATTAAAAATAAATCGCTTGATTGAAATTTCCACTTTACGAATAAAGCAATAAAAAATTAATTCAAGTAAAGCTATCAAATAGTAAGTCTCAAGCAAAAAAATCTTACGCCTAATTATGTCTTTTTAACTTTTCTTTTAGCAATTTTCCTTTTTTCAACTATTTATTTTAATCTAATCCTACAACATCATGTTGTCGGCAGTCAACCTAGCAAGATAAATCTTGATGAAAAAAAATGTTGCTAAATCATTCTAGAAAACTGTTTCAAAAAAGTGATATTCATACTTCATATGATGAATCAGAAAGCCGACAGTAAAACACAGAAATATTGAGTTTTATCGAATCAGAGCATTTCTCGTCACAGATCTGCCACATGCTAACCGAATACTTTAAACGTCAGTTCAGGTTGATTAGTTGATGCTGTAGTAGAAAACTGAATCGTTTGCAAAACAGTGACAAACAACAATTTGTCACATGCGACAAGATCTTTACACTTTTCCTTTTCTGCTTTACAGGATACATTATGTTAAAACTTAATAGAGCGGGAATGAGACTTCCGCTCTTCCTGATGATCAAAATATTTGCAAAATCATCTAGCATTATGTATTTAATAACTCAGCATCATTATTTGTAGTTCTCTAAAACGAACATAGTGTAATTACTATGTTGGAAGATACTCGATTCTATTAAATTTCACTTTCACTGCTTAAACTATAACTCCATTCGTAAGTGAAGTGTCCGTTTACCACAAAAACTCTGCTGAATCCTATAGATATAATGAAATTATATATTTCCCTATTTTAATTATCTACGTTACATAATATCATGGATAATAAAAAACTTGTCTTGCTCTGGTCACATACTATAATGTTCGAAAAATACCTGAAATTGTGCCGTTTTTCTGAAACGGATATCATTAATTCAGAGAAACGGTCCATTGAAATATATACTTTAAATAAGTTGTATTAAGATCTAAGATTGAAATAACGAATTCGACAATTTGAAATTTTAAAAATAGAAGCGAGTAAAGCGAGTCTTTTTTACCCATTTCTTTTTCATAAAAAATAACTGGAAAACGAAATACTACGGAATTCGGTAAGGCGCTTTATTTAAATTTAGACAAATTCCTCTGACATTTGAATGTAGGAGAAGGAACTCTCTAAAGCCTTGTTCAATATTGTTGTGATATCAAAATATGGGTAATTTCCATTGAATTTTTATTTTAACTGCAATAAGTTATAATAAACTTATTTTGTCGTCACCACTGCTAACGTCATTGAAAGTCAAGAACATCATTCACCAAAAAGAAATTATTCGATATAAGTTACAGAGGACTATTTTATTATTCTTGACTTTTAGCTATTAATTATCTTGTACAAAATACTTAATGTTGTAGTAAAAATTCTTCGATTAAAGATCAGTGACACAATCGTACCGAATAAATTTCAACAGAGGTGATATGCAACATAATATGGAATCTTCCAAAATAATAACTTTTTATAGCCTTCAATTATGTTGTTTCATTCTAGAACTAAAGAATATTGATTTGTCGAATATGTCGAGACTTGTGATGCATTACAACATGCATATTTTAGAAGCACGACTGTGTCACAACTTATATGAGTCCAAAATTACTCACATGATATAATACACTGACATAGTTTCGCTTTTTTTCAAATACTTTATCCCATTAGTTTTCTCAATATAAAAATATAAAGCAAAAAAGTTGCTCAAGAATGTGCTTCTCATTATGGAAAAAACTCTTTTGATTAATTACTAGTCGCATTAGAAAAATAAATTTTCTAGCATCTCGAAATGTGTTAAAATACACTAAAATTAAAATTAAATCTAGAATGTTAAAACAAATTCTCTTTTACAGTATACTAAAAAGGAAAATAAAGACTGGTATCTTAAGCTGTATTACTCCTTATCAATCAGCACTTGAAAATGTTGACCGTTACTGGAGATAGCTGTGAAGAGATTATACAGACTTTTGATGGGTGATTTCTAAGATGATGATACAAGCTAAATCATAAGTCTGAAATGTCTAACACATTTCCAAGAAAACAAAACTTACAAAATGGTCAGAATTTTTTTTATTCCACGATCGTCTACGGGCACGTCGATTGCGTGATTCGTTCCGTCGATGTCGTTCCGAGCTGTTGCGTGGCCGTTTATAACGACGATCAATACTACTAGAGGACCGTTCAATACGACGTCGACGACCGCCGCCCATTTCCAAGTAATACTTCGCCTACCGGTTCTCAAATCCTTGGAACGACAAATGTAACAATACCCAATGCTGAAATTAAATTTTGTTCCTTTGGTGATAGAAACAGTGTTGATTAGAGGTAAGGAACGTAACATAATCACGAATAGTTACCATAATTTCTGAATTTATCATCAACATAGCAAATATGACTTATAAATAGCCTTTTCAAAACTACTGTGAAAATCTTTTGATGCTATTAAGTAAACCATTTAACTATAACGATTTCAGTATATAGTTGGCTAAACTTTCTAACTTACCGTCCAAAAAGATCAGACCTTCAATATGATCAGGAAAATCATATCACCACATTAAAGTTTTTATTACTAAAATGCAGCATGATTGAAATAATTTCGATGTTAGAAATATCTTTGTTCTTTCTTGATAAAATGGTTTTCATCAGGAAGAAGAGTCAAATACGACATTGCTAATTGATTCCTGCAATTTTATCATAAACACTCCTAAATACACAAAGTTTTTACTTACTTGATGATTCGGCAGTAACATACCCCGTCAGTGATAACCCTTAACCAGTTCATATACCTCTTGATAATGATCGGTATAAAATGATTAATAAAAAAGATTCCTCAAAATTTATACAATGACAATTTTCGCACACTTTTAAATGCTAACAAATCTAACGTGGCAAAGTGCGTCAATTACGGATGCGGAAAGAAAAAAACAAGCGTGACTCTAAAATGTTCCGAAATTTCAAATTTAAATTTAAAAAATTTTCGAAATTCAAAAGCAAAAGTTGCGAAAAACCTGAAGCGAAGGTACCACTTCATGTGTTTGCCACTTGACAGAACCTCACCGTTCACTACTACCACCTTCGCATGCACACGTATACACACACACACACGTACACACACACACACACACATATATATATATATATATGTACGTATATACTCACAACGTAGAGAACCAACCATACGGTGTCAAATTGTTCTGTTAGAAATCTGAATGGCTATTGCAGCATTAAGTTTGGTAAACTGTCGATTTAGGAGAGGTGGGTTTTTCTAATTTTCTAACGTAAGGTCATGTGACATACCTTTGTCATCTACTGCTATCACATCCATAGCGGAAGTAGCAAATACGAAAGATACAAATTTTGTGCTTGTCAAAGCTTTGAATAATGTGATAGTTCGTAAGAATTTAAATGAATATGGACAAATATCGTTCTATTGCACTATTATGAACTTGGAATGCAAATGTCGTTTAACTATAATTTGTAAGATTTAATGTCGATCCGTATATGGTTAGAATTATAACCCGTAAATGTTACTCTCATCACGTAATTATTAGCGAATTTCATGAATAGGACATAACAGTTCCAACAATTCTAAATACGATGCTTCTGAATATCTGGAAATTGGTATTCCTTGCAGTAGAACTTTTCAACTCAGAACAGATAATCGTTTAAGGGATTTTTACTTTGCAGTGAAATGAGATATCTCTTAATCGTGTTTCTTGGTAAAGCAACCAGTGCTGTTCTGTCCGTTTTTCTGTGTCATTCATTATTTCAGGATGTAATCAAATTTTTTGGACTTCTTTCTATTCCTTGGAAATAATTTAGCTAAATTATATCATTAATTGATTCTGTAAAAGAGGATGATACCAGTTGATTTCCTTTTTCTTTCATCAATTTAAAATAATAATAAACTTTATAATTTCAAGTTAAAACCTTCTTGCAACCAGTTCTGAATAGTGTAATCAAGGCAAGTGCAAAATAAGCGCGATTAATAACATCATGACGAATGATGGTGAAAGGAAATGAATATTAGCGCTTTGGTCATTGGTGTGTTACCATCATTGTGAATACTATGCTTTGCCGAGCGTGATATCGAGAAAGACTGAAGACAACTAATTTTTGATCAGGAAAATTTGAAACGGTCAGATAAGATTGAGATGAAATATCACTTGGATATTTTTGTTTTGATGTTACAAGACAAACAAACATCACCGTTATTATCAACTTGTTTTACAATCACGGATGAAAATAAACAGATAGATATCTATAGATAACAACATTTTGAAAATGTCATACAACTATATATTAAACAGTCAGAAAATAATTCTAAGATTCGGTAATTTTAACAGAAGTTATTGACAGATGCATATCCTCTCGCAACGACGCATATCCTTAAATGACACTTACATATTTACCGTTCGCTTTCGTTGGATTTGTGGCACGAATACTAACATCAAACCCGAAATTAGAAGTGCTACACCACAGAATACAAATGACATGTTGTAGGAACCAGTTAAGTCGGCTAGTTGTCCTGAAAACATTTTTATCAGTTTAAATGTAACTGTTGAAATACATACATTTATACAACAAATAAATCTTTTTAATCGGATATATTTTTAATTTTATACTTCATGTAATGGCGATACGGACACTGTGAGATCATTTTGTGATTCATTTCATTAATGTGTGATAATACTACGAATATGACAAATAGACATAACGATATGAAATTAATGGACATATCGTTGCAGGCACAGAATTTATTTTGAAATTTTAGTGCCTTTTATTTTTCATGCTATCCCTTATCAAAAAATTCTTCCGCTGAGTGACGATCATTTGCCATTTGACAGGAAAAAAAGTGTCGTTGAAGATACAATTCTTGACAGGAGATAATTCTGAAATTTAAAAATTCTTACCAGATATAGGAGGTCCTATAATGGTACCAATACCTTGGAAAAGTAGAATTAAACCAAATGCATTAGTCAATTTCTCAATACCAATTAAGTCGACAAGCAATACTGACGTAAGGCATACGTAGGATGATAACGTTAATCCAAATAAACCGGAATACATCTGCAGATGAGGAGAATGAGCACTAACAAGAAGTTTATTATGCTTTGATGAATGAAAGCATTTGTAGTTGATTTAAGCTTTAATAATCATTTTCGCTCCTTTTCTTTATCATATTCTAATCATTATCTTAATTCGATGGCAACTACTATTATAGCTATTTAAGAGTAGTGCCGTAAATCTGAAGAAAACTTAAGTTCAGTTATTTCTCTCATTTCCTGTATGCCTCAAGGAAGCGAAAGGGCAATCAATTAATTCATGTTAATCAGTTGATCAAGCAGTATGAATTGAATTTCCTCAGACCAAACAGTTCCAATTACTAATAATGTTATAAACTATTTCATGAAGTTATGTTATCACTGATCACTGGAACTCCCTTTCGGCTTAACTTATTTTTGTTCCTCGCGGAAAAACTTTATAGTGAATGGATGAGTTGATAATGCCTTTCAAACTTACAGCTAAAGTTATGTAGCTATGGCAAAAGAGTACGCCCACAGTTAATAAACCACATATACTTAACGATAATATATAGGTCCATAATCTATTTTGTGCCGTATTTTTCCCATATTTACACGGCAATTTACGATCAGATATTAATCCAATCAAAAGCCGTCCAATTGTATTCATAAAACCTGAAAAAGCTAAAAAAATTGAAAATTTTGAATTTAATGCAAACTACAACAATGTTAAAATTCTTTCTGTTCCACACCGTTAAAATATAGATTGAAGCTTTCTATACCAACATTGAGCGATAACTTGCACTTACCGAATGCACTAATAACGCTTGCAGATTGAGCAGGGGTTAAACCAAGATTGGTTGCATGTGAGGGCAAGAAAACAAGAGGGGAATTAAATGCGATGCTTGTCAACAGATTTGAAATTGCATAGAGAAGAAATATTGGATTGGCAAATAACGAGATATCCGTCATTTTCTCTATTGTTCTGAAAATAATAAAAGCTTAGTACAATTACCATATAGTGGGTACTCGATATTTTTACTCTCTGCATTTCGATATTTCTTCCGAAAGTATTCGTGACATAATCGGAATGTCTTACAAGTGACCTCTAGTCGATTAAATCATGACCTAACCATCATAGGATTAGGGTGATCCTGATGGCACCCCTTAAATTACAAAGATATTCCGGAATTAGCAGATGACATAGTTGTAATTTTTTTCGGAATTAGCAGATGATATAGTTGCACAGTATGTATCTTCGATGATCTGTGTATCTATTTATCATACAAACTTAATAAAGTAGAAAGAGATTGAATCTGCTTAATACTATTACGTAAACGCTGATTGGTCTTGTCATTGGTTTTAAAAAATAATTTTGCAATAGATTTGAAAACTTATGACTTTTTTATTCTTTCCCTCCAGTCTTCCTTAATCAGATGCAATATTAGAAAGTCATATTAGTTTTGTTAACAATTGTTAGCAGTTTTAAAAAATTGCCCTTCGATATTTTTTCTGTCCATTTCTTTTACATCGATTAACGTTTTGAGTAAAAACGGAAATGACAACTATTTGAAGCATACCTCAAAATTTCTCTTGCTCTGTTAACTTTTTCCTCCTCTTCCTGATTCATCACCATTTCTTCCACACTCTTCAACTTATCGTCCTTCATATTGAGGGATGCAAGCGATCGGTGCCATTCAACTTGTGGTAATTCGTTCATTGAACCTGTGTAGAACACATCCTAAATAAAAAACAGCTAGTACAATAGAACTAACTTGAAACATTCTGTCGTTTCGAATGTACTAGATGAGAATCATAATCTTGATTTTGTTGGTAGCAGGGTAACATCTGTTCCTTTTACAATGGAATAATCAGGGCATACAATGTTAGAATTTTTTTAACATAATAATATTTTAAATGAATGAGATACAAAATTAAGAAAAAATGAGAAAGTAACAGTGATAAATCACTTTAACAGTGATAAATCCTGTGGATTCAGAAACTCCTCGACTTCTTCGACGTGAAATATCTCTTTTCAACGATTCTGACTGTTCCAATTTCCCGTTCCTTTCTTTCATGTCAATGATATTTTGATGGTTATGCGAAGAAAGCAATATGGTTGATAATGGCGCACTTTCTTCATCCTGTTTGTAACAAAATGTTACATCGTCATAACGGTCATTAGCATATTAAACGTATTCTAAATAGCCCTTAATGACAATACAAACAGAAAAAAAAGATCAAATGATTTGTTACATAAAGTATTTCATAAAGATTTCCAGGAGTTTGTAATATAATAACTTATTAGAATAAAACAAGAAAAGAGATGAAAATGAAGTTCTGATGCACCATTTTTACGGATCCATTTTTCTCATCTCCGTTGAGGACTTTCTTTTTTCTCCTTTCATCTTCTACAGCAACAAATGTCAACGGTCGGAAAGTGGCACCACATAAGGAACACATTAATACAATTACTGTAAAATCTTGTTAATATCACTTTTGAACAAATAAAATGACAGAAGTAATCAATTCCAGCCAAAGAAGAAAAAATAAATTGAAAATAGCAAGAAATTACACTTTTTGAATGGACGATTCAAAATTATTGGAAATGAATCACAACCTACCTGCATGGACTGCAAAAACCGTTCTCCAGGAAACTTTGATAAGTGCTTCACTGATCGGCGCAAACAGGACGGTACCAACACCAGCGCCAGATACCGCTATACCGGTAGCCATAGCTCTGGAAAGCAAAAAAAAGAATTCAATTAAAATAACTCCATCCTGAATCAAAAATACAAGTAACATATGTCAATTACTCATTAAAAGAATGAATAAGTTATTTGCCTGGTTACACGTGCTTAATTATTATAATTTGAAATATTTATTAGTTACTCAATCCAGTTGTAAAGGAAAAGAAATGATAATTTATCCAACTTCAAATGAACCTTTTCTTTTCGAAATACATGGTAACAATGACAATAGCCGGACAATACATCAAACCGAATCCCAAACCCATCATACAACCAACCGAACCCATCAAATATTCTACCGAAGTTGCATAGAACGATGTAGCACAGCTGAAGTGATATATAGCATTCTTCCACTCTTCCATTATCATTCCTTTATTACATTTTATTAGCAGAGGTCATTAAAATTCAAAAAGTATGCATAATAGAACAAAAAAGAGTAGAATTAATTTTTAATCCTAAGGATTCAAATTTGAATTTCCGTTCCCCCAACGAAAACACAGGAAATTATTGTGGGTGGTAAAAAGGTAGTGGTCCCATAAAAGTTGGCATTGTGAAGATATATCGGAAGATCGGATTCACAACTGGATTGGATGAAGCAAGGCCTTCTTGTAGGCAATCACTGTCATCTAAAATGTAAGAGCATGTTGCTGTGCATTAATTATTATATGTACAAAACTACGCTGTTTCAATTAAGGCTTGATAATTAAGGTTCGACTTGATGGATGAACAGAGGGAAGAAAATTGAAAGCAAAATTATTTATTATGCTATCTTTGAAAAGAAACCCAGCCACATTCTTCTCTCTATTTCATTACCTGACACATACCTCAACTGGAAAATAATTTATCAAAGGGATACCCCACGGCTGCAATCAGTGATCCCAGAATTGTCGTCACCCGACATCCAAACTTATTTGTTATTGCACTTGCTATAGGACCTACTCCGAGAGTTAAACCCGTTAATAATGAAATTATCACCGATGCTTTAGCATTGCTTGCACCGAATTCCTGAAAGCTTGTCAGGTACAGAAAGAGTTCCAAATTAAATAGTGCCATTTAAAAGTGAATAACGGGTAAACAGTTTGAAAAAAAACGAGTTTTTTTTTTCTGATATCATCGAAACGATTGAAGAGGTAGAAAGGTGCAGCTAGTAAAACTTGTCTCTATCAGTAATCTTTTGTATTTTAAAAGTTCCCATTTAAAACATTCAAAATTAAACCTTCATGATAATTTCGAGAACAATGCCAAATGAATAAACGATACCATCGGCGAAAACATGGATGAAAAATGAGCCAAGGACAACAACCCACCCCCAGCCACCATCAACCAGCGGAATATATTGCACATTACTTTCACCATCTTTTTTCCCCTCTTTCATCTTCATTAGAACACTCTGAAAATGATTTCGAAATTTTACATGAAATTTATCGAATTACACCGATATGTCTCATAAATTATTTTAGCTTTTCTGCCATAACCGAGTTGTCTTCCACCATTTTCTTTTTCTTAATCGATCGCCCATTCATCTCCGCGATCTTCTGCATAGAACATATGTGATAAATTTAGCCATGGAATGAGAATTATTTTTAAAATTCAATTTTAATGACTGAAAAAAACAACGTCTGTAAGAACACCATTAGGACGTTATTGTGAGGGCAAAGATTAGAGGTGAGAAGTTAGAATAACATCTCTGGCAGAAGAAAAAGGAAGGAATTCTTTCGGCAATATTTGAAAGAAGAAATGGAGATGCAAACACGGGAATGAATGAAATAAATAACAGACTTTCCTGTGACTTTTTTTGCCAGTCATTTCTGCTTTTATTTTAGCATATCATTTCTAACCTTTTAATTGATAGTATTATTTTTTTGATCGATAGAATCAGATTACAGGTGATAATTACATGAAAATATTACGCCAAATTGACAGACATTTATTTAAATTTAAAAATATAAATTTTAAAAAAGCGCATAGTAAATACAATATGTAAATACAATTAGCTTAGCTAAAAAAATTTGTATTAAAAGATTAATTAAAATATTGCTGCAAATTTTCCAGCTATGTCATCAGCTTGTAATCTCGAATGATGCCGAAATAACCGAGGTATCATAGAAAGATGAGAAACTGAATGTGAATAGTCCAGCAAAGGAAGTATGTAACATTGAAATGTCAGAATGAAAGAGTGGGAGTAATTTTTCCTTTTTTTTGTTTTTCCCTTTTTTGACAATGAAAGTTACTTCTGCTTTTCTTGATTTTTCCTTTCCTTTCATTGAGATGTTCTGATAAGTATATTACTTTTAATTGACGCGACGCAAATATAAGCGATACAATTGAGAGTTTGGAAGTCAAGATTGATGAAAAAGTTAGAAATTGCAGATGTAAATGAAATTTTTTATATCACCAAAAACTAGACATATTATTTTAGCAAGCACATTGATAAATTCCAACGAACGACAGACATAGTAGAATGATTCGAAAGTGATTGCGAAGCATCTGAAGTAAACTGTCACTTCTTCAAACTAATCAATACATTATTTATGCTAATGAAGAATTTTCATGTGATATATCAAATTTCTATACTTCTTTTTTACATTTCTTTCCTTTAGATTATTAGAATGAAAGGATAAATCTGCAAGCAAAAATGAAAATAAAATTTTATAGAGAAAAATGAATGCAGGAAAATAAGGACAATGAAACATTCGTTGTATGATCTGTAAAATATGGATCAATGCATCTGACGTTATTAGGAAGAGATTACTGTGGTATTGATTACCGCAGTATTATTATTTATAACCAGACTGGTCCAGAAGAAATAACAGACAGGTGCGGGATAAGCTGTGAAGAAGGATCTTGAAAAAATTCGATGGAAACTTCTGGTATTGTGCGGAAAGGATAAGATAATAATAATTAGATGAAATTTTTTACAGAAATGAAAAAATGATTCGTTTGAGAATTACGCATCACACATTGGTTGTTTTAAGTTGTGAATGTTTGAAAAGTATGAATGTTTGAAAATTAAATTACAAGAGACAAAAGCAGAATTAATTTCTTTAAAGAGAGTTGTCAATTTGCGTGAAGAAAAACGGATTGAAATTCTACGACTTGAAGGATGAAGATGAGACCATTTAAGTCAGAATATAAATTCGATATTAATGAAAAAACGAATATACGTATACTTAAAGAGAGAGAGATGGAATGCCGGAAAATGAAAAGTGAGGAGTGATAAATCACGAGAATTTAGTAATACTGTGCGATTCTAAATTTCGAAATATAGTATAAATGAGACATACTATAAGCAGGAACATTTCGGACCATCAAATAGCATGTAATCCATTTCCGACAGACTGTTTTGTCATTTTGGAAGAAAGGAGAATGTAAGAATGCGTAATGAAGAGAAGTGCTTACTATGAAATGATCAGACTCGATATTTTTATGGGAATAGTAAGCAGAATGGCAATAAAACTTGCAAATTAAATGAGTCCAAAGGAAGGAAAAGAAAGATACAGTTAATGGTTTTTCTTGAACCAAATATTTCCAAAAATGGAAATAAAAGATGAAAGGGGAAATTGTGCCTAATATAAAGACTGAGGTAATTAACAATTAAGTTTTAGAGTTAAATTATGGAATTTTAAATTTTTCAGATTTTAACTTTTCATTATAAAATGACCAGTCATATAGGAGATTAAAAATGAAGCAAAGAAAAGGACACATAATATGCAGAGACGCAGTCAGTAAAGTGATGAGAGAGAGAATGAAGGAAATGGAGGAGTGCAGTTGTTGCTGAAGGGGAGAGCGGAGTTGGCTTTCGTCCATTCTCGACAAATTGCATCACCGTCGTCATCCGGTGATTGATCACCTGCCGGAGTGGTTGTTCGACTGGACGGATTTGTCTGGAAGTGAGCACTCCCTTTCTTCTCGCACACCTCTCCCAGTGTGACTGTCTGACAAAACCAATCAATCGGAATATCAGCGAGAAGACAAGTTGTTAGTTGAAAGGGCGCAAACCAGTATTTTAGACGAAGCAACACACTCTCTGATGAACCTTGCCCTTTTTCCCTTTGAGGATGACATGGCGAGTAATGATGCATTTTTCACATGGAAGGATGTATTTCCTGTTCAGCAAATCTCCCATGAGCTTTTTCTCCCTTTCTCTGATTCCAAACGTATGGGTCAGTGCTCGTGTGATTCGCATTCGTTTCAATTGACTTCTTTCTACAATGATGGTCGAAATAAAATGACTTCACAAATATTTCTCTGCCTCTCCCGTTTTTGGATGCATTCTGTTGAGTGTCTAACAATGCGGCAAAGATACAGGAACGAATCACTTTCAAAGTTTCCTGATTCACCGTTTTTTTCATATGCAACATATTTTTCAATATCCAAATGGCGACTGCGTCTTTCCTACGTGGAATCCATAATTGTGCTTACAGATGGACTTTTTCCTCAAACACACATGATTCGTATTTATGGGAAGAATTGATGAATTCTTTCATTTCATCAGAAAATTCACTCCTTCATTACTCGATAAAACGGAAACCGAAAGTTTGACGACGAAATAAATCTGTAATTTTGGGCAAATTTGAAGTATTTCAACAATTAAATTAACTTTGATATATTTTCTAGTTAAATAAACGTTGCACTATTCAGTAAGGGAAAGAAAAAAAAGAAAGATGCATACGATTGCTTATCGTAACCGTGGATTTTTTATGCCATGACGTCACTAAGAGATCGCGGGAGGACAGCGAAATGATGGAAATGAAACGATTTATGTCAATTGCACTTCCATACTTTAAGCTAGATTATGACGAGTGTGAAGTGATGAAAGAAATCCTTTCTATGGATCATTTGAGATTGGATGAAAAATTGAACAATGAAATTCATTCATTAGGCAACACCTTCTCATATGTCAGTGACATTGGAAATGACCAAACGTGTCACCATCAATTAAAAAAGGATAATATGACAGATTGGATGGAACTCGTAGAACTGAGCATAACAAAGGAAATTAGAATCGTAGTTTGGCGATCGATTCTTGAACGATCGTATTAATGGAATAATGTAAATTCAGATTCGCATGAAAATTTAGTTGGAGAATAGTGTTTGATTTTACCAACATATCAACCGATAGCTAATCAGTGTCACTTTTCTCTTTTTCTTTCTCCGATCCCGTTATTTTGACTGATATTTCTGTGTAAATTTGAATTTGGATTTTTTCATCGATTCAATAATTCAATGAGCAGATTGCTTATAGAAAAAAACGCAAAATTTATGCACAAGGAAAATGGAAGATTAATTTTGGCGGTTATCACCGATTGTCTCATACAAATTTTGTTAAAAGAGAAATTGAGGAGTTGTTGAGCACACATATAATATAAAAATACTTTATGATATTCAAACCTTAACATTCCACTTCAAAACGGACCTTTAAAAACGATACATTTGTCAGCAATATGCTTTCTTGAGTTTTCTTGTTTCACTTAAATCACTGAAAGAATGAAGTAATAATTCTGATGGTTGATTACTTTAAAACAGTTTAGAATAGATGGGAAGAAAGTTCTAAACACTTGTTAAGTTTGAAATTTTCATATCTTATAGAGTCTAAGGAATTGTTTCTAAACAAATAAAAAGCAATTATCGTTTATTTTAGCATGATCAACTACCAAATATAGTATTGGCAATAAAAATTTCTTTTTTTACTTTTCATTGGAAGATTCTTTTTATTAGAAAATTTTTGCTTAATCGAGACTAAAGTTTAATTTTCCTATCTTAATTTGAACGGACAATTCCATATATAACGTAAAATCGTTTATTGTATTATCAAATAGATTCTTTGTTTGATCTTACATTTCTTTCATTTTCTGTGCCTTATTCAAATTTTACGAAGAAGTAACTAAGTCTTTGTAACGTGTAACTTGTGGGGAATATTGATCGAGAAAAAAATATTCCTGCATCATCGCATGCTGCAATGTATTATTGCAAATCGAAATTGTATTAGTTGCAAAATATTGCGTATAGCATGAAATTTTTTAATTTAAAAAATGATTGCGTATAGTGTGAAATTCTTCAATTTAAAATTATCCCATGCTCATCTGCAAATTTTTCTTTCATTTTAATGGTGATTTGGAAACCAAGTAATGGAAAATGAAAAGAAAAGATGAGAAAATGATAAGATATTTGAAACTTTTGATTTTGATACAATTTTAAAATCTTTTTTGAAATAAAATATTTTTACTCAAGTATTTGTCAAAGAATATAAAAATTATAAATAAAATAAATACAAATAAAACAATGCAGTTTCTTTCCAGCAATTGTCAAAATTTTTAATTCTAGACAATAATTCTATTCCTTTTTAAAATGTTTATTTATTATTACAAGATGTTT